GCCGGGCCCCGGACCCCTCGCCTGGCCGGTCGGGCGCGCGGAGAGCGCGCTCCGGCAGCGGAAAGTGGAGCCCCCGGCTGCCTTCTTCCCGGGTGTCTTTTCTTTGCAATCAGCGAAAAATAAACACCCGGGAAGGTAAAACAATAGCGGGGCCACCTGGGACGCGGCGCGCTCGGAGCTCCCGCGGCCGGGCGCGAGCCGGGAGGAACCCGGGAGGAGCCCAGGAGGAGCCCGGGAGTCTCGGCCCCACCTCGCAGCCCCTTCCCGATTTGCCCCGGCGGAGGGTGGGGCTGCTCCGGCCGGGCTCCGCGGGAGGCGACGGAAACCCCAGGAGTGAAGCTTTTGGTGAAAGTGTTTCAGGAACAATTGGGCTTCCACGATTGCCCTGCAGTGGACCGGGAAACTGAGGCGAGGGAGAGCGAGCGGCTGGCCCAAGGTCAGAATGCAAAGGTTGTGTCAGACCAGGGGCTGGACCCAGGTGTCTGGACCAGCCCCGCGCTCAGCCTTCTAGGTTTTTGTGCTGGTTCTGTTTGCCTTTGATAAATTTCTGTTGTGTTTGTTTTAGAGGTCTGGTGGCATTGTGGGACCGCTTCGGGGCCGCCGGATGCCCGCTTGCTTCGTGTGTCCTGGGCAGGTGCGGGGCAGGTGACAGCTCCGTAATCTACCACAATGGATGGAGATGGACTTTTTGACGAAAAAATCCAAACCTTCGACACCAGCCAGGGTGATTTGGCTGTCCGGGATTTCGACAAAACCCGCCCTGTTTCCTTTGGGGAATCCGAATGAGGAAGATCACAGACACCTTCACTGGGAAGCCAAGGACATTTCTGTATAATCAGTGGATGAAAGGATTTTCTCAGACTTCTCCCCTACCCCCTTCTTTCCTCGAGGATTAATCCACCACCACCTACAGATCCCGTAGAAACTGCAAGACACACGATGTGGCAGAAGCGTAGAGCACCTTCGGAATTGCTCTGGACCCTTGCTTCAGCATAGGACTTTTCACATATGTGCCACTCCTCCCTTCCCCCCAGCTTCCTTCTGATTGCTCCTCTTTAACCGGTTCTCATTTTCTGCGTTAAGTTCTGTTTCCAAACTGTTCTCTGGAGCTATCGAAGTGGAGTGCCAGGAATGAGAGATTAGGTGCCTAGAGAAGAGGAAGTGCCCTGTGTTGTGTCCTCCCACTGCTGCTGCCGACATGAAGTGCTTTTTCCCAGTGCTGAGCTTTCTGGCTGTGCTGGGTAAGTGACTCTGCTTATCAGCGCAATCGATGTGAAAGTTTAACCTGCTCTTAGTTCCTGTAATTCCTTGTGGTTCTTTCCCATCAACACTGTGCTTTAGGGGACATCAGAAACAGCTGGTGTGTCGTGGATGGGAATAGAGTGTCAGGAGGCCCATTTCTGATCCAGAGGAATGGTGGAATATTGTTTGTTTTTAGGCAGGAATATTTGCTGTCCTGGGCCTTGGGGTGAGGTCCATCACCTCAGATCCGTGGTGTAAGCGCTACTTGTGAATTTTGGGCTGGCTTCTTGGAGTGTTAACAAAAATGGGTGCTCCAGTAGTTGCACTTTTGTGTTGGTCTGCATTCACTCCTAATTGGAAGTGGTAACATAATTCTCACTGTCAGAAAAGTTGGCTCAGTGATAATGATGGTGCCTCTACCTTTTTTTCTTTTTTTTTTAAAGATGTGGTGATAGAGTTAAGGGATGCTTTGTCCTCCCTAAGTGGTCTGTAGGCTAGAGCATTTGAGGATACTATTCTTCGTCTCTGCACCGTGGATGCCCAGCTTGTCTTCTTGGGAAGAGAGACAGAGAAACTGAAGCTACCTAGTAAGCATGTGCTAGGAATGATTTCTGTGCCTTAGAGAGTCTGAATGTGTAGAGTGAGCAGGAAAAAGAAACTGTAACCCTGAGAAGTGAGCCCTTGACTTCTGTCTGAAGATTCTCTTCCCAGGGAAGAGCTCATCACCCTTCACACTTAGCCATTCTCTTTATGCCATTGAGCACACCTTAAGGTGGTATCTTGCAACTTACCTTGGGTCTAGTATCAATTTAATAGCCAAGACCTGGTACCTTGTCTCTCCTTATCTTCTCAGACCTCAACCATGGACTCACCCCTTGCCTTCTCTTTATTCCTCAGACTTCAGAGGGGTCGTCACGGCTGCCTGTGGTGTTTGAATCTCCAAATCTAGGTGTCTTGCACTTAGGGAAATTATGATCTATTGGTGGTGAGGATTGCTTCCCCACATTGTCCACACACATGCAACTGATAATGGGTGTGTGGCCCAAGAAAGGGCTTTGGAGCTGGAGAACCTGAGTTCACAGTAAACTCAGCCTCATCATGATCGATAACTGAGCCCCTGTAAAAAATCCAAGGGCTCCTGCAGCAACTAAAGGATGTAATGTGTTCTAAACATCTTGGCTCCCTTGAATAACGTTTGAAACTCACCGTAAGTGTGTTCAGTCGGTGGTTCTCAAACTAGGGTTCATGTTGATATCATGGAGGGAACTTTAAAAAATCCTGCTGTTCAGACAGTGACCCCAAACAAATGAAACAAGATCCTCTAAGTCTTTGGCCTCTCCCAGGTCATTCCATGGGTGCCTGAGTCAAAACCAGTGAGAGTTTGTTGGTGGCAGCCTATTGCCCAAAATGCGCTTGCGTGTGGGCGCACCCACAAGCATGCGCACCCACAGCATGCGCACCCACAAGCATGCGCACCCACAAGCATGCGCACCCACAAGCATGCGCACACTGTGGGGTGCGATGCAAGGTCTCCTGTGTGCTTGGGCAGAGGCAAGAAGCAGGTAGTCCTCTTTTTGCATCTCTTGATAATGAATTTGTATTTGTTATACTATATCTGTCATTCACTCAGTGTGTGGATTTGAATCAGCAATTAGTGATTCCTGTGGATTCTAAAGGACTCCAACAAGAAAAGCCCTCTGCGGAGGTGTGGCATGCGTCTGAGGCGGGAAAGAGAGCTGAGTGGAAGGGAGGGGCTCGGCCGGGGAAGGAGCCACCAATGGGAAAACAGGGAGATGTGACATTTGTGCCTTTTGTTTCTTTTGGCTGCTCAAGAAATGTTAAGGCTGCCTGCTGGTCTCCCTGCTGTTCACTCTCTGTGCTGCCCTGTGGAGTGGAACCTGGGCTGTGGCTCTGGGCAGGTGCTGTCCCCTTCCTCCTCACCTCCATGTGCAAAGAGGTGCCCTGGGGAAAGGAGCGTCAGGGTGGTTGTGAAGGGGAGTGCTGGCAGAAGGCTGGATGTAGGTACAGGTAGGGACATTTGGGACTGAACAGGCATGCCGATTTCCGCCTGCTTTTGAGCCTGTTTTCTCCAGCTTCACAGAGAGGAGGCCTTGCTTCTACCTTTTAACCTGGAGAGGAGGGTGTTTGGAGAGGGAATAAGCTCATCTGGGAGTCTTGTTTTTCTGCTTAGAGTCTGGTGTGGTCTGATTCATGTGTCAGCATTCTTGCTGTGTGCTGTGGATTCACATGAAATTTGAACTAATGTGTAGTGTGAATATAAACCAACAAAGAATCCCAGGCTTTGAACCCACGTGGGTCACACACCTAGAATAAAATTTTCTTTGTAAAATGTTGGGAAAAGCTAACTGCTTTGCAAAGTGAGATTGATACAGGTATGAGCTCCAGAATTGGCAATTTGAGTTAGAAAATCCTGCTGCCATATGTGAAGGGGTACATGGGTAAATCTCTAAGATTGCTTGTGGCTCCCTGGACAGCCTTAGACCTGTGCTTTTCATTTGCCAGTGTCTAGGACTTGGATCAGAATCCTCTTTCACTGCCTGTTGGGATACTGATCCTGTTCATGGCTTTGTCCTACTGAAGCTACTACTGAAGTTCATGGTTTGTCCTTGCCCCCTTTTTTTTTTTCTTTTTTGGTTTTTTGGTTTTTTTCTGATACCAGGAATCAAACTCATGACCTTGAGCTTGCCAGGCTGGCGCTGTGCCACTGAGCTAAATCCCCAGCCCCTGTCCTTGCCCTCTTGACAGTTACGTCTTGTTTTCATCTGTTGCAGCCCTGGGTGCCCCACCCACCGTGGAGCCATTGGCTGATGCTACAACCCTTGTTCCAGTTCTAAACCCTCCTTAAGCCTGGGCTTGAGCGAACCAGGAGCATAGTAAAGTCTCACTACTGAAAATGAGTGGAGCCAGAGGGGTCAGAGATGAGAGCCGTAGTAAGGGCTGGTTGGAGTGTGAGGCGGAGGGAATGGGGAAGGACGGAGAGGGTGCCTGGAGCTGTGTCTGTGCTGGGAAGCACCCTGTGTCTGTGACAGTGACATGGAGCATGACAGTGCGGGGGAAGAGAATAGGATTTGTGTCTGCACGAACAGGAGAAGAATAATCAGTAAAGATGAGGGTGAGCTTTAGGCACAGAAAGCACATTTTATTTTGGTGTGCCATGAAGGGTGCTACCTCCCAGACCAGGGAGGATGTTGCAGACAAGATGAAATAGCTTTGCAAGTGTTAGCAATGAGAAATGTAGGAGGTGGGGTCTCCCTGGGTCAACTGTAGATGCCAGTGATCACGTGCATTCTCCTCGAGCGGGAGAGAAGTTCATTTGCAGAGTTTGGGAAGCCTCTCGTTTGAACAGGATGGGACTAAGTAAGTGATCACTTACTTCCCACGTAGTTAGGGAAGAGGCCAGAGGGTGCTTCGAGAAGAGGTTGAAAGAAACTTTGATGTACTGATGGGCATGAGCTCAGAGGTAGGACTGTGGCGATCAAAGGCAGAAGCAAAGGAGGAGGGAGAGGAGAGAAGTGAAGTGGTTTGGGGCATTCAGAGGAGGGTTCTGGAACAAAGTGTGGGGATCATGATTACGGATGAACTCACACCACTGCTGTAACACTGACCTTTGTAGTTCTAAGGGCTGGTGAAGGTGCTGGAGAGGAGAATTCTTATCAGGAGGACTAGACTGTAGGATTTCTTTTGTTAGTCAGCTTCTCATCACCATAACAAAATACTTGCCGCAGTTAACTTATAAAGAGAGATTTATTTTGCCTCTGGTTCATGATCAAGTGGCCCTGCTGTTTTGGGGCCTGTGGTGAGGCAGCACATGAAGGCAGAAGGTCACGGTGAAGCAAATCTGCTCACCTCCTGTGACCTGTAAGTGCCCATGTGCCCTGCCAAAAACTTTGGGTTCTATTATTTGAAGAAAAGGAAAGAATTTGGGGATAGCTGCTGCCTCTGCCGTAGCTGTAAAGTTTGCCAATGGCAGAGTGGGGTTTTGAAGTCAGGACCCTTGGGTTCTGCTCACCTCATCACCAGGAAGTGAAAGAGGAAAGGGCCCGGTGGCATTATGCCCTTCACTTGTCCAGTGATCCAGCGAGGTCCAGTAGGCTCTGCCTGTTAGAGCTTCCATCATCTCTCAATGCCGCCACTCTGGAACCAAGCCTGGGCACCAGTATGTGGGGCTTTGGGGGCCTTAGCATCTTTCAACTGTGAGACTCACTGAGTTGCCTCTGGGCACCCACGGACATATTGAGATGCTCTATTCTTGCTATATTTTCCACCGCATCAGAACCACTGTTACTTTTATAACAGCAGTAATACTAGCTCTCCTAACTTCTGCCCTTGCTGTGAACCAAGCCCTATCATTCAGTCCTGAAAACAACCCTGCAACATAGTTATCTTGTATTATTATCTCTTTATAGACGGGGATATTGAAGTCCAAAGAGATAAGTAACTTGCTTAGGGTGCATTACTGACCAGGTTGATGGCAGTGCTTCACAGTGTTAAGAATCTAGGCTTCTTCTGTGTTGTTTCACTTGTGTGCCATTCTAGCCGGAGACATGAGAAAGGAAGAAAAGAGAGCGTGAAACCCAGGTTCTCTAAGATTAAGGTTATCTCCTGGAAGTTAACACACATCACTTCTAGCCCATTGGCTAGAACTTGGTTGGTCATGCACTTAGCTGCAAGGGAGGTAGAAGTCCTATACTTATCCTCCGTGTCCATGTGCCCTGTCAAAAGCTTTGGATCCTCTTACTTTGAGGAAAGGAATTTGTCTGTGCCATAGCTATAAGGTTTGCCAGTGGTAGAGTGGGGTTTTGAAGTCAGGACCATTGGTTCTAAATCTTTCATCTAATAAGCAGCCTTCTTTGTGAGGGCCACCCTTGAGCTGCTAAAAAATCTTATTCGGAGGGCACGAGAAAGATAAACCAATAGTCAGTATTTAAGAAGCAACATAAATCAGCACATACTTAAACACTCCATGTGCAGTGTGAGT